GTCCCAGCCATGTGATCTGCAGGCCTGGTTGCTCCAGCTCCGTCCCCCACCACCCACACATGCCAGAGAACTCAGCTGACCCCTGGGTTCCACAGGGGCAGAAGTAACTGGTCCCCTAGGGAATCTTCAGATGAGCCCACTCACTGCTTCTCCTGTTTGTTCACATGCTCCTCCCTTGCATTCACATTTTCTCCCATGTGCCCCATTCATGCATCCTTTAGGCAAGTTCATATATTTACTGCCAGTGCTGCATTCATCATTTGTGCTACTCCTGATCCAGACATTAAGTCATTTCATTCACAGATTCAACTAACATTAGGGTTCATGCCCGCTGTAGGCTGTGATATCTGCCTCAGGCTAGAGGATACAGAAATAAACAAGGCAAACAAAGCCTGTCCTCTCACAAGGTTGCCAGTCCAGAGGAGGAAATCAGATGTGTCATCAGGGATATGCACAATGGAGAACATAATCTAGGGTAATGGGATGGAGACCTAGTGCGGTAAGGGCTGAGAAGGGTGGAGGTCAGGACAACATCCTTAAGCTGAAAGGTAGCTGTCCATGTAACAACTCAAGGGAAAAGCATTTGGGCAGCAGGAACAGCAAGTATGGAGGCCCTGATACAGTAGATAGAGCATCAGTCGGATCCCAACAAAATAGACAGCACACTTGAAACAGGGCACTAAAGGGAGGGATTCTTTCCAGGGTATACTATGAAGAAGAGGGCTCAGGAAACAAGAGGAACAGAGCAGCGCTTCCGGCCAGTAGCAGCAAAACACTTCCACCTGAAGGAGATAGGGGACAGAGCTGAGGCTGAAACTTAACAGTCTGCTTCCTTGAGACATGTGATAGTACTTGGTGCTGGGACACAGCCAGCCCAAGACACCGAAGGGAGAGAGCCAGGAATGCACACCCTGACTCTGCTCTGCTCTTGTCATCTATGTGTGTCTCGAAGTAGCCCAACTGCAAGGGGCCGCTGACAAGGTCTACAGGTCTGCAGCAGGTGCAGTGTGGGGCAGAGGTGGCCAGGGTTCCTGTGTCACATCTTAGGTGGCAGCTCAAGTGTCCTTCACTAACGGGGAGTGGCAGCTGAGAGCTGTCCTGCAGTGAGAGATCCTGGGTACACAGGAGAGGAGGAGGAGGAGGAAACGGGGTCAGAGGGAAGCAGGACCCAGCCTCCCAGGGATGCACAAGGAATCTGGACTGTATTGTAGTCAGAGTTTAAAGCACAAGCCCATTCTGCTCCAAAACCCAACACACCCCACCCCCTCGCCTGGCCAGGCCACCCAAGCTGCCCAACACATTGATTCAGGTGCTAAACCTTGGAGCACCAACCCTGACTGAGGAATGCAGGTACCAGCCAGCCTGGATCTCTCTAGGGCAGCACAGGGCCAGGAGCAAGAGGCCCTATCTAGGGACAGGTTCCAAGGACAGCCAGCCAGGAGGACCCTCTGTCTGCAGAGCAAGGATGAAGAGTGGTTTAGGGCAAAACCAACCAGAGGTTGCTCCTACAGCCCTAGCCCCCTGCCCCAGCCCGCCACAGAAGGGGAATCAGTCAGGCAATGGCAGACTGTCCAAGAGAGGGGACCTCAAGGACATCTGGCTTGTGCTGTGCAGCTATCGGCATGCTCTGAGCTGAGATCCCCAAAAGAACGCCAGGCTTATAAAAGATCACCTGCAGGGGCCCTCAAGCAAGTCCTGGGGGTGAGAGGTTAGGGAAGGGAAACCACCCTGTCCCTACCTGGGACCCAAGCCAGCTCAGCTGATCCCCAGCATGGCCCCCTGCCTCTCCCTCCCACCTATTAGGGCTGAGGCTGTGGGGTTCAGCTGGTCCCCTCTGCTCCCCACTCTTGGGTGGGAGCAGACTGATCCAATTGTAGGAAACATTCTCCCAACCCTTCTCCAAAAAGCCTGAGCCCACACAGAGGACAAACCTGGACCAACCTCTTTCCCCATCTTTCACATGCAGGGCGAGTGCCGTACACCTACCTCCAAAGGTCCTGCCAGCTCTGTTCCTCTCCAATCCACACCCATTAATCATTCCCTGAGCAGTAACTATGCATCTGACCCAGGTGACAGATGTGGGGACACCATGGGCTGGTGGGGCAAGCAGTACAATAAGTTTCATGAGGATGAGGTACTGTCAGATCAAAGCCAGACAGACAGAGTACTCAGAGGATCCAAGGCTTCTCAGGGGAGGGAACAATAGGTCAGGGGCTTAGAGATAAGGAAGCGTCTGCCAAAAATCATAGAAAAAATAAGAAATTTTGTATATCACTTCATTCGTTCACTTCCAGAATCCCTTTTGATCCCTCCGACTTAGGTCTCAGCAAACTGGGACTTAGAATGTGTAAATGTTTAGCTCTGATATAGTCCCTTTAGACAAGATTCTCATTTTCTGATTATAGTGACTAAGGCCCAGAAAGGGGAAAGGACTGCTCAAGGCCACCCAGCAGGGAATTAATGAGCAGATCCTGAAACCATAGTCTCTCAGCTTCCGGTCTAATATTTCTACTGCAATAACCCGCTCACCTCCTTCTTCTTTTCCAAACACTCTCTGTCCTGACCAACTGCCCTCCCTTCCCAGCCAGACTCATGACAAGTTTTACAGGGAGGTAACCATGTCGGGTAGGAGGTAGAAAGTAGAAAAGAAAGTTTAACCCAATAGTGTTTTCATACTTGGGATCTGAAAACATGCTTTCCCCAGCAAAGCAGCTTAGTGTTAAGCGGAAAATCGGCTTGGAAGGATGTGATATCATTTATAACAGTACATTAAATGCAAGCTGAGAACCTGATATATTTTAGGAACATTCAGCACACTCTAGACTAATAAACATTTTACAATATTATTGCACATGTTCATTTCACTTTGTACAAATAATCATTCCCTTCACATCTAATAAGTCTGCTTGACACATAAGTGGTCTTGGGCAAACACCTCGGAGGGCCTTGTTTTTCTGTGCATTGATCATTTATTTGTGTAGCCCGCTGGGACAGTGACTAATGATTTTGAGGTTTAAATGTCCTTAAACATCATCTTTGTCTCCCTGCCTGTTATCATACAAACGTGAAATAATTTTGTCTTGGCCCTAGAATGTATTGTTTTTCATGTATGAAAAATGCCTGTCCCTTCTCTGCCTGGCATGGCATCAATCAGTTTAAAACAATATTTGGAGGAGCCCTGGTCTGTGGGTCCTCCAGTGAGCTCTTGAGGTCCCCAGGAGACAAAAAAATCACCACTTACTGGGGAATTTCCAAACAAACCTGCAGTCACACTGTCAGAAGCCTGGTCCCCCTACAAGGCAAGCATGAGTCGTAGCATACCCTCAAGGCCCAGGGAACCAAGACTTGCTACTCAGTCTTCCCCTTTCCGAACATTCCTGCAGGTCTCTGGGGCTTGCCACTGTTGTGTTAATTGCTGGAGGGTTGGAACCAAAGTGGTCCTGAGCTTCAGGAACTTGGATCAGGGTATGGCCATCACTAGGCTCAAAGAACCTTAGGTGGAGAAACAGAAAAGATGCCTGCTTGAAATAGACTCGGCCAATTGAGCCCATCACTTGGGCAGCAGATGCCTTTGTAGATTAGGGGGAAAAAGCATTCTTCCTTCTGAGCAGATATAGTCTGCTCAGGGCACGTCCTTCAGCTGGGTATTGTGCAGTGCACAACCTAAACAATGTACAAAGAAGCCACCCTGGTGGAGTGGGGGTAGGACACTGGGCAACAGACAGACACGGAAACAAACTATGAATTCTTTATCCCATAAAGAGCAAAGAAGAGCAACAGCCCCACCACCACCACCACCCCTCACTGGACAAAGGAAGAGCCTGCCCCTCAGACACAAGAAAGGAGGTTGGCATTTGGAGAGACTGAACAGGAGGAGAAAAAAAAGAAGTAGGAGAGAGTGAGGGTAAGAAGCAAGAAAGGATAGAAGGGTGGAAGGATGGATGGATGGATGGGAGGCAGAGAATGTTTTAAAAGTGTGGTATTTTTTAATGCTTTATTAAGAACTGTAGGCTTTTATACACAAGCAGTGAGTGATGCATTGGGGACTGTGTTTTAGACAATCACCCTGCCTGGACTGAACTGGAGAAAGCTAGAATGGCCATTTGGAGTCATCCTGTAAGGGAAAGGGAAGGAGCATCGGCAGCCTCAACCAGCAAATGACAGCTCCTCAGCTGGGCCATGGGAGACTGAGGCTCAGAAGCCTGACCCATCCGCCAGGCTCCACAGTTGGGGCCTCAGCCTGCTAATGCTCACCTGGTCAGCAAGCAGGCCTGAATCAAAGCCTCTTTGGCCTTGCACCCAAGAAGCCTGCTCTCAGTATGCACTCACTCCGATCTGGTGTCAGCTGCCTAACACTGTCTCTGGAAGGCCTCCATCAGTACTCCCTCCCTGTCCACTTCCAGAAGAACCTGCAACAGGTCAAGACATCTTCGTTGGACCCTATCTTTGACTTCTCTCCCACTCTACTCTACCACCTCTGCCTTTTCCAGCACACACAGTTTGCCAAACAATGTGACATGATTTGCCACATCTCCGGGCCTTTGCACATTCTGGCCCTTAACTCTGACTCTTTCTGCCTTGCTATTGCCTCTTGTTCTTTAAGATCAACCGAAGCGTCACTTGCTCCAGGAAGCCTCTCTGACCCCATGACTTGTCGGGAGCAATGCTACATAATTTCACGGGAAAATCATTTGGTTAGCCTAGTTCTCCTGCCTACAGCCCAGCTATGGAATTCTGAGACATAACTCCATTTTGCCCTCCGGTCACAACTGAGACCTCAGTGATCCGGTGATGCTGAGATTCTCCAGCCCAAGAAACATCCTGGGAGCTGAAAACATCCTGGGAGGAACAAACATCTACTCAGTTCCTCCTTGTGCTTGGATTGTTACATCTTATTTACGCAGGATGTACTGAACTCTCTGCAAGTCATTTGTTACACTTTGTTTCTCCCGATGTACTGGGGGGCGGGGGGCCACTTTCGTCTTTGCTGCCCAGAGCCGCACTGATCAGACCCAAAGCTCAGCTTCTTCTCAATCTCATTTTTTTACCTTTCCTGTAATTCGCCGTGTGCTGCCGTGGCTCGCAGGAGACCAGGACTCACTGCAGAGGTTCTGGTAATGTCCCCTTCCCCTGTTCCCTACAATGACTGAGTGAGGACCTCTTCTGTGGTCCACAGCTCCTGATGTGTCTCAACGTGGCATTTACATGTTTAGTTTTTATAGTCTATTTGCATCATCTTTTTCTATCCCACTATGGGCTGTTGGAGAGCAGGGGAGTTATTTGACTCATCTGTAGAGTCTTCAGCTCTCAGCACAAAGCCTAGCCCAGAATACAATCAGAAGATACTGGATAGATGGGAATTGTGAAGGGGGGCGGGGGGAGTAAATGGATGGGAGGATTAGGTAGATAACTGGACGGATGGATGGGTGGGTGGACAGCTTCTCTCCCTTATGGGAAACAAGTTTGGACTTGCCTCTTCCACCTCTAAGAAGAATCTCTTTACCTAGAAAAAGAGAAAAGATGATCTTAAAACCTGAGGCTCTCAGTGGCACAAAATAACTGACAATAATGACTGCCAGGTGCACAGACCTACACGTCTGATTCATGCAACTTCACTGAGGGAAAGCCCGGGTGATGTGGAACACTATTCTGCAGGCTGAGGTTCAAAAACAAGGTCTCAGAGCATCTTATCCACAACTGGCAGGGGCTTGACCTTTGTCCTGAGGCTCATGCATGGAAAAGGGTTCCATGGGCATAACAAGGAGCTATCAGCGACTCTTGAGTCCTCTGAGGATGAGAATAAGAGCCAGAGGCACTAACCTTTGGTCCTCCCTGCCCATTCTGCAAAGGCTGATTAGAAAAATAGAAAGTTCCAGGCTCCAAGGTCCCATTCTGGGGCTGACGTATTATCAGAGTGACCAAACCCTACTTCTAGGCTACCCCCAAATTTTACCCCCCATTCCTACATTGTATCCTCTCTGGGCCCGACTAGCTCTCTGGCCCCTTCTAACTCTACCTTGTCACAGATTAACATTCTGTGCATAAGGGCCAGACACATATAGTCTTAGAGGCTGGGCCCAAGTCCTTCTCCAGTATCTGTAGCCTCTAACAGGCAGAGTAGTAGGTATCACATACCAGGGGGTCAATTGTATAAATCATTCCTCAGTTCACTTAATAAGTATGTATCGGATATCTGTGCATCAGCCAGAGAAAGGACAACCAGAAGACACCTAGAATAAGAGATTTACTATGGAAGTTGACACCATGGCACTGCGGGACCTGATCAGCTATTCTGCATGCCTCAGGATGGGGCTCACGGGAAGGAAGGATGGTGTGAAACAGGGGAAGCAAGGACAAGCAGGAACTACGCTAGGCCTCTAATTAATGACGGATGTCCTCTGAGATGGCTGGAACCCTGGTCACGGAGCTGTATACACCCTGAGTCCAGGATGCTGGGGCTCCGAAGGAGATAGGGAGAGAGCTGGGGACCCCAGACCCTGAACTGCCGCCCTGTGCCATCCAGCAGAAACCACAGCACATACTGCCCTTCCCAGTTGCCACCTCACCCTCATCCCCATGGATCTGCTCGCAGGCCAAACACTCTCACAGCCCTTGCTAATCTGGAAACATGCAAGGGTGGGCATTCAGGGATGGGGCTCCAGCTCAGCTGAGCAGTTCCCCAAAATGTCGCTAAACCTGTTATGTGCCTGGCATGGAACTAGTCAATGGAGACTCAGCAGAAGAAAATTAGGGTTTAGTGTTGTGACAAAAACGTTTTAAATGCTACAGTCCTAGTTACTGACTGTCTCCCAATGAGAAATTGAATCACGACATATGGCAATATCCAAAGTAAGTGGCTCAAACAGGTCAAAGTTGCTCTTTGACTTCGTGAACAGGCAGATGTGATGGAGCCTCCACCCTCAGGGACTAGCTTCCTTCTGCTGCCCATGCCACTCTGAGGCACATTCCTGCTTCCACTGCCTGACCTGAGCTGTCTGTCGGCTGGTTCCATTGCTATCAGGTCACAATCCAGGCCATCAGCAAAGAAAGAAGCGGACACACAAGTCCACTCACACTCAGGACCCTTCCTGGGAGTTGCAGACATAGCTTCAACGAAGTGTCCAGAACCCAGCTGCCACTCCTAGCTGCTGGGGTGGGGGAGGCTGGAAAATAGAGTCCTTACTCTAGATGGCTATGTGCTCAACTGAAGATGAGAGGTTTCATTATTCAAAATAGACAGGAAGTAGATACTGTGAGTCAACAGGAAAACTCCACTAGGGGTCCACGTCTCAGAGCCTGGAGTCAAACAAGCCTAAAGGCCATTCCTAGCTCTGCCACTTTCTACCCGTGTAATATTAGACAAAGCAGTTACCTTCTCTGAGCCTTTGTTTCCCTAAGCACTCGAGAGCATTATCATTACACATAGGTACTATTCTAAGTACTCTGTGCGCACCACTATTCTTAATCCTACAATGAATATGAGCTGAGTAGTAACATTAGCCCCATTTTATAGATGAGGAAACTGAGATTTAAAGAACTGAAATGATTTTTCCAGAGTTAGGTTCATTCACACTTAGCGAGAGCCTGCCCAGTGCCAATCTCTGTGTCCAGCTCTGTGCTGCTCTCTGGAGATGCAGGGGGAAAGTCAGACATGGTCCCAGCCCTGCCAGGACTCCCAGGCTGGCCCCCATTGCATATGTGCAAGGGCCTGGAGGCTGGGTAGGGAAAAAAGCAAAGTAGTTCTTTGTTTTGCCTTTTCCTGTAGCAACCAACCTGCACCCACAATATGTCTGAGAGCACCCTCCCAGCCCAGGCTCAGCACAGATGCTCCCAGAGGGTCTGGCTGGGGTGAGGAGGAGCAGCCAGTGAGTCCAGTGTTCACTTAACAGCAGCTCCAGGTCAGAAGAAAAAGAGCCAGTGGAAACAGCAACAGTGTCAGCACCCCAACATCTCTCACTGAGGACCTCCCCATCAAAAGCACTTGCACATCCACTACTACATAAGGCCCCTTTGTAGATGAGGACATTGGTGCTTCAAGAAGCTAAGTCATCTGTTATGTACAGGCACCAACTCCCCACAATGGACATAATCACTATATACTGCAAACATGTACTAATAAAAACAAAAGTTAAAGAAAAGCTAATTCACTTGTCCAAGATGACACAGGAAATAGCCAAGAAGGCAGGTGTTCCAGGAAGCATTCCAGAAGGTGATGACAGAGGTGCCACTGCCTGGTCATTGTAAGGACCAACACACGTAACCTTGGTACTGACTAGGACAGGGAGGTAGGCATGAAGGTCATCAAAGAGTTGCGTGTCTTCCAGGAGGAACAGCCTCAATGAGAAGAGCAGGTAATGCCCTGTGAGAACCCTGCCATGGGTCTGCATATTTGGGAGCTCTAGAAAAACAATCAGAGCATTTGACCTCCACTTCTTAGTACCTCAGGGGACTGGCCAGACTGAGCTCTGCCAGCCACAGGGCTACATTTGCCCATTTGTGACCAGATGGCCCCTTCGTGACTGTGAAAAGCAGTGAGAGAGTGCCACTTTCGGGGCCTGGGCAACCCTTTCTCCAGTGAGGCAGGCCACACCATGTTCTATACACTAGACTAGTTCTTTGCTGCGGGGGAAAGGGGGGCAAGGGATCTAGTGCTGGCCCTGGACACCTCACCTGCAGAAAGGGACAGAAGCGAGTACACCTAGGGTCTGTGCCAGTAAAGCAGACAACCTCCATGTAGCACCATGCACAGCACCATGCACAACTGCCCTCCATAAATTCGGCTTCCTCCTCTCCCTCTTGCCTTGTCCAAGAGAAAAGCCTCAGACGGCCATGGTTCAGGGCAGCTGATGCCGGGCTGGAGATCAGTCCCCTCATCAGTACCATAATGGTTGGGGCCAGAGAGAAGGGACTTTTCCAAGCTCACAAGGCCTGGCTAGGCACAGCGCTCAGCTCACAGGACCCATTCAAGGGACCCCCTGCCCCAATCATATTGCTGTGAGAGTTGTGGGGGGCTTAGTACTTGGTGTCAAGGGTCTTACTCAGTTCCCAAAGAACATTCAAGAAACGCAACCCAGCCATATCTGCATCACATCTCTACTGCCTGTTGCTTTGAGAAGCAACTGTGTTATTTGTGATTTCTGACATTCACCCCCTCCCCAAGCCCTTACCCGCTTTCCTGTTTGGCCTGTGAATTGGAAAGGGCTGTAAACAGGCAGGCAGGCTCCTCACCCCTGGGCGGGCCTGTCATCCAGCCAGGGCAAAGGTAGGGCCCAAGGGACCCCCGCCCCCACCCGCCCCACACAGCCCAGCTGAAGAACTTGTAAAGACAGGATTTGTTTGTTTTTTTGGATCTGGCTCAGGATCTGGCTGAGGCCAGGCCCTTTGGGGAAAAGCAACTTTTAAATAAATGCTTCAAGATTGTGCAAACATTTCAGTAGTACTGGAGGCCTGGCGTTCTGGGTCAGGGAGAGAAAAAAAATACCCGTCAATCACTCTAGAGATGAAAACCTGATAGCTGAGCGCTTGGTGAGGACCAAGGCTTGGGTTGCAAATCTCAGTTGTGGCTGGCTGAGACAGAACTACACTTAAGCCCACTCTCAAAAAATCATTTGCATGTTAATCAATAGAGCAGCCCTGCTTGACAGGCAGAGAGCACAAGGCACTCACAATAAGATCCGTGCAATGCGTGCAGAAAAGATGCAGCTCAAAGGCAGACAGAACTGGATTTTAGCCCTGGCTCTGCCTCTGATTAGCTTTCTAGTCATGGGTAAATTATTGGGCATCATTTAGCCTCAGTTTCCTCACTGGCAGAATGGGATTGCAATAGCAATCTCACAAAGATGTGAGAATTAAATAAAATACAGGTTGCAACATAAAACCTGGCTCAGAGCAAAAGCATAGTAATAAATACTGGCAATATTACTAGCTGCCATTTATGGAGCATTTTCTCTGAGTGAGGACTTGCATATGCTTTCAGTGATCCTCAGAACCCAGCCCACTTGACCAGGCATCCACAAGCACATGCTAAGCACCTACTCCACTCTAGCTTCCTGCTCTCCAGGAGAAGCTCAGCCTCTGACCTTGGGGCTCAGGATCATACAGCCAGGATGCTCCAAGCTGGGCCAGAGAAGTGTAAGTAGGGCATGATGCAGAGAGAGATGGCTCTTCCTGCTTCTGGGAAGAGGGTCTATCTGAATTGGGTCTTGAAGGATGAGTTAAGAGGGTCCCCACACAGGCACAGGGTAGAGCAAAGGCTAGAAAACAGGACCTGGATGCAGGCAGAATGCAAGGAAGGGTCACTGGGAAGAACAGCTAGCAAAGTTAGACTGCAGTCAAAGAACAAAGCATCTTACACTTTGAGGATCCAATTTGACTTCCCAGGCCAGGGTAGGATCTGTGCCCGCTCAGCTGCCCTGGCCATTCCTCATTGTAGCTATGTGACTAAGGAAGCGAAGCGGGCCAATATCTCTGAGTGTGGATCTCTGCAGGACCTGCCTCAAAGGGCTGCAAGAGGTGAGAGAGTGCTGAGAAGGTTAGAGTGCTCCACCAACCCTAGATTCCGTTATTTTACACGTGTGCACAGATGCGCACATACACACATGCACAGGTGCACATACATTCAGGCTCTGGAATCTGAACAGCCTGGCTCGAGAGCCCCAGCATCTCAGGTCCCTGTGGCATGAGCCCAGGAGCGCTCCAACACCATGCGATCAAAGCCAGGGTGAGTTGCCAGGCCTGCGGAAACACAGGTGGGTGGCCAGGTTCTCATCCAACACATCCACACACTCAAAGGACCTCTTTCTCCATCAGAAAGAAACTCCACCCATTCTGGCAAATTCATGACATTATGTAGCTCAGAGATCAAACTCTCCCCCCACCATGCAAGGAAACTGAGGTTTAAAGAAGGAAAAGAGCAGCCTGGAAGCAGAGAATCACATGGAAAGGCGCTCTCAGGAGTGTGCAGTCATTGTGCTGAGCCTTGGGGAATGAGTGGACACCACAGGCGGGACAGGCATTTCAGGGAACAGCTCAAGCAAGCACCCAGAGACTTCATCGATGAACCTGGGGAAAAGAAAGGTGACCTTGTCTTTTGGGGTCAGTGATGCGGTGTGCCACGGAAGAAGCCAGAGAGATTGCAGTCCAAGCAGAGAGAGCCCTGTGGGGCGTGTTTGGGATCTAGATGTTCTTGAGAGCCAAGGGGAGCTCAGGGCTGAAGGGCAGCCATACTGGGTCAGATTTTAGAAAGATTTTTATTGCAGTGATGCAGATGTGACCTAGATTGTGCCTGGGGCAGGAGGGGTGGGGCAGGCGGGAGAGTGGGTGAATTTGAGAGATGCTGAGGAGATATGACTTCCCAATGAGCATTTATTCTCAGCTGGGCATGGTGGTGCATTCTGGGAGACTGAGGCAGGAAGACTGCAAGTTCCAGCCGCGTCTTGGCATCTTAATGACTTACTGTGCCCTTGTGTCAAAATTTTTTTTAAAATAAGTATTAAAGGGCTGGGGATGTAGCTCAGTGCAAAGGCCCTGGGTTCAACCCCCTCCCCCCGCCAAAAAAAAAAAAAGACCATTTGTCCCCTGGAGGAAAAAAGAGAGATGCAGACAGAGGGGCCACAGAGGAAACAGGAACGTGGGAGGGTTGGGGTCTGTCACAGAAGAGTCACGTTTAACTCAGGGGACTCCGGCTATGGGATTAGAACGGAGAAGATGCTCAGAACAGGGGCTTCCTCACCCCGCCCTGCCCCCCACAAAGTCCTGCACCTCGTCCTGTCCCAAGGGCCTGCCCACCCTCCGTCCTTTCCCAGTAAGAGGGCCAAGGCCTCCAGCCCACACCAGGCAGCCCAAGGGACAGGGTGGGGAAAGCCCAGCTCCCTTCTCAGGCAGAAAGTGCGGGGAGTTAGACAAGTCAGCTGGCGGAGGACCAGCTCTTCCTCCCACTTTACCTCCTTCCCTCTTTCTGGCTCTTCTGCTCCTTGCCCAGGGCTGCCCTCTGGCTCTTACAGTGTGCCTGGGAGCCGGCCCCTTCACCTCTCGGACCCTCAGTCTCCTCCTCTGCTGAGGGAGGTAGCAAGCAGGATTGCTGCAATCCTCCAATGAAAGGGCTGGCAGGTGCCACGCCCAGAAGGCGGGCGGGCGCCGATTCCGCTCCGTAAACTATTCTTTGCCCCCACGCACACGCAATGCGCAAGCCTTCCCCGGCACGGCGCAGCGCCCCGCCGCCGGGAAGGGGTGTCACCATCATCCCGAGTTTTCTCCCCGCAGTCAGGGCGCTAGGATTTGAACCTGGGTCCGAGGATTCTCGCGCAGCCGCGGTCGTCCGCCTCTCTTCCCTCCTCCCCTTCCGCCTGCGCTCCTCCCCTCCTCCTCGCCGTCCTCCGAGCTCAAAGGCTCGACACCTGGAGCAGTCGCAGCCGCCCGCCCGGCGGCCTGGGTCTCATTACGGCCGGCCCTTATCGCGGCGTGCATCACATTATTTCATTTCAAAGAATCCACAGAGAAGCCCGTCCCCGGTCGACAACAGAAAGTAAAAACACAGCTGACTCCCATTAGGGCCCTCTCACAGGCTCCGCGTGAGGTAATGAAATATGGAAGCGGTGAGATATGTAATGCTTTATTAAGCGGTCTCAGCTACAACGGCGTGCATGCCAATTACGCCTGCAGGCTACCGCCCGCCCCTGGCCGGGACCACCCAGCGCGCGCCCGGCCCGCGCCCCGGACGAGCTGCGGGGAGCGGCGGGGAGGGGAGGAGGAAGCCGGGCCGCGGATAAAGAGAGGGGGCCGAGGGGAGCCGAAGGAAGGAGGGGGACAGAGAGGGACGGCTGAGGTGCCCGGTGCCCCCCCTTCCCCATCGTGGCAAGTAAGAGAGACACCGTGAGAGAGGCAGGCCTGGTGTTTGCACACAAAGATGGGGCCCTGGGAATTAGAGACAGGGCTCCCATCGGTCCCTAGAAGACAGAAAGGCAAGGGCCAGAAATAAGCCTCAGAGAGGAAAGACAAGAGTCCTGAGCAAGGGTAGGGGGAACCCAGGCCTCCTGTTTGCTGGGCTGGTTTCTTTTCTACCAAACTATGTGCCTCCGTAGCTCCCAAACTCCCCTGATGCTGTCTAAAAGGCACAGTTCCAGCATTTGTGAAACATGGGCTTGTTTTACACTTTCTAAAATGAAGTCCTCTGCACCTCTCATCCCGTGTGCGTGTGCGTGTGTGTCCACGTCCACATCCACATCCACACACATCGGCTGATCCTGGAGTTGCCCAAGAATACCTCGTATATTCAGTGAATGTGGACTGCTGAGGTCTTATCTGGCCAAGTGCTGGGGAAACCAACAATAGGCTCATGCCCCGGCCCAGGAGGAGCTCAGCCTGGCAAGGGGAAATGACATCTAAACCAAGGCCTTATGGGAAGGCCTGTGACACAGATTCAGATCTGCCCGGGATGCAGGGGATTTAGCTCAGTGACTCGGCCGCCTGCCTCACAAGCGCAAGGACCCGAGCCGTTCCGGTACCAAAAAATGGTTCTCTCTCAGATCTGCCCAGAAGGTCAGGGAGGCCTGGGCAGACAGGATGTTTGCACAGAGTCCTGTGGGGAAGGAAATCACCATAGAGGACAGAGCCCTGAGAGGTCCAGCATGAAAACTGGGAGCGCTGAATGTCCAGGACTGAATGTCCAAGGGACTGCTGATGGCTACTCAGGCACTCTAAGCAGGACACGTGTGAGCTGGAGCTGAGTGACAGGACAGCAGTGGAGGTCTTAAATTAGACTGGATCAGTGGAAGTCAGTACTCCTTCATCTCTGAATAGTTACTTTTCTTCTTGCCCTGCTCCCAGTGGGATTTCTCCAAGACATTCATACTGTTAAAGTAGGAAGCTCCTGACCACTGCTTCCATCATACTGGTGTCAATACCCCTACTTATAGATGAGGGTCCAGAAGTCACTTTTGTGTCACATAGGAAAAATATGCTTCATTATTGTGAGCTAAGTATATGGCAGATGCTACACTAAGCACTTCAGATACGTTTAATATCTCATTCAATCCTCTAAAGAACCTTATGAGAAGGTTTCCTAAAACACTCTAAGGTCTTCCACTCTTCGTGTCTTTGGATGTGCTGTTCATCCTGCCCTGTAACCCCTCTCTCTTTACCTGATGTATTATTTAGGCTTCCAAATAAATAACAGGATTCAGACAGAGGAGCCCACACATAGTGGATCACATAGCATAGAAGTTTGAGCTGTCTGATGGGATCCTTTGGCAAAGGGCATGTCCCCCCACGATGAGGGGGACAGCTGTGTTCAGCAAGGTCATCCTGGAGCCCAGGTTCTTTCTATTTTGTTGCTCCTCCCTCCCCTCATGGCCAAAATTTTTCCCTGTACATTCCAGTCTTGGGAAATAGTAGCAAGCAATTTTACTTCCACTCACAATTGGAAACTCAGCCCCACAATGTCCCCAGCTACAAGGGATGATGGTAACTTTAATCTCTAGCTCGATAGCCATGTGTTCTGCTAAATCTGGGAATGTTTTATTAAAAGGAAGAAATAGAATAGAACCAGGAAAACAGGCAACATACTCTGGCCCCCTGCTTATCTTTCATAATCCAGTTTGAATGTTGTTTCCTCCATGAAGCCTTCCTGGCTTCCTCTCCAAAAAAGAATTAGTTGCCCTCTGCACTGTACTCCTCCTGCCTCTTACGGTTTGCTGCTTTGTGCTTCTCAGCAAATGGGCCTGTCTCTCCAGCCAGCCTCTGAGTAGCTGTTTCCTCATCTGCAAATAGTAAGCACTGTATATAACAAGCACTCACTATGTCCCAGGCAATGGGCTAAGCAAAATTTATGTAGAAACTCCTTTACTCTTCCCACACCCTTGGGGGTTTCCTCTGTAAATGGTCATAATGATGATACAGACCTCATAGAGTTACTGTGAGGGTGAAAAGAACTAGTATTGAGATGGTTGTTGAGTATATACTCAATTAATAGTCACTCCTATTGTGTGACTATGGGTTGGTGAATATACCAGGGTAAGGGGTTAGTCCAACTATAGACTCTCTTCTGTGCCCTGCACCCTTCACAGCTGGGCAGCAAATGTTAATCCCATTCCAGGGTGTGTAGGACCTAGAAGTGCAAGGTCAAAGTGATATTGCTAAGGTGAGAAGTCCTACAGATACAAAACACCACAGTCCTGGAAAGCACTGTTGTTAACCCTCTTCCCCCTGGGTAAGAAGCTAACTTGCCCAAGCTAGCCAGAATCAAGGCTCAAATCAGACTGAGTGTGGTGCTATAGTGCCTCCCGAAATATTGCTTAGTATGTATTTTTCACATGGTGGGAGAATTATTGGCTAGATACATGCACAAATCATGCATACATCTGATAGCCATGTAATACTGGTTCAGGCATGTAGGCTATTTAAGATACTACCGCTACCTGGTGGCTGTAAGGAGTATTGCAAGCATAGACACTGAAGGCAAAAAGCATCCCAGTGTCAATTTCAAAGGGTTTAAATATATTAGATATGATCAGAACCCTCACAAAACATTCTCTCTCTTGTCAATAGACAGCACCAGGCTATTTCTATTGTTCTTGGCCACAAGCATTTCCTAGATCTGTTCTCATTTGCATTTTAGGATTTCTGAATTCAGACTTTATCACAATAATGGGTCAGCCTCCATGGGGAGAAAGTGACCCAGCATATTACACTGTGTGTGCAGTGTTACATCAGTTGTATGACCTGAGTGATAAGGACTACACAGAATATCCTAAAAATATTTTGTTTCATGTAAAAATAAAGTTACTGTGTATGCCGGAGATAACCTGTCACACACCTGTCAATCCAGTTACTAGCAATAAAAACCACCCAGTCTTTAATCTACAGAATAGGAAAAACAAATTTGCCCACCTCTCTTTGGACAGAATGCTAATATATAGAATATGTAAAGTGCTAAAAAATAAAAAGACCCCCCCCCAAAATAAAAGGCCCCTTCAAAAATGAGCAATTGTAATGAATTCTTTTTAAAAAAAAAAAAAAAAGTACCAATGCCCAATAGGTACATGAAAAAGTGTTTGGCATCTTTGGCATTAAAGAAATGTAAATTAAAGCAACACTAAGATTACATCTTAGCCTAATAAGAATGGCTATTCTCAAGAAATCAAATAATAATAAATGCTGGCAAGGCTGCAGGGGAAAAGGAACCCTTCTACATTGTTTGTGGGAATGTAAATTAGTACAACCACTACAGAAATCAGTATGGGGTTTCCTCAAAAACACTACAAATAAAAATTTAATTTGTTCCAGCCATACCTCGTCTAGATATCTTCCCCAAAGAAGTAAAGACATCGTATTACTGTGATAGATCTGTACCCATGTTTACAGTAACACAACTCCTTGGAAGTGTCCTATATGCCCATCAAAAGATGAATGGATAAAGAAAATTTGCTATATATACACAATAGAGTACTACTCAACCACAAAGAAGGATACATTTGAGTCATTTATAAGAAAATGGACGCACCTTGAGGCCATACTGCTAAGCAAAATAAATAAGACACAGTTAAATATTGCATAGTTTCTCTTATACAAGAAACACAAAGTATAAATAATTCAAAGAGAAAAATAAAAGATAGGTAATAGAAAACAAGGAGATAGACTTTGTGGAGATGAGAAGGGGATCTGAGGATACAGAAGGGAGGGGAATAAGGGAAAGAGGGAAGTAAAAAGATCAAGATGTGATAGGTACATGTACCAATTCCCCACAATGAGTGTATTTACTGTGTATCACAAACATATAAAAAAACACCTGGCCTCTCCCAATAGATCAGAGAATGTTTTGTAGTGGATTTGACAAATGATTCACCAAGTCCTATAATTTAGGCAATGTACCTATCAAAGCTTCCAGGTAAATTTATAAAAGCTATATAACTTCCAGATATACGCAATACAGTTAGTGGAGGAGAGAAGGAGGCTGTGTGTTTATCCAAAGCAAAAATGCACATAAAAAAAAACAATATTTTTCACTGTCTTAAGAGTATATAGTTGATATTTTTAAAATAACTTTCACATACATGAAATGCAAAAATATTACCATTTCCC